CCCCAAAACCCCAAAACCCCAAAACCCCACTGTATATTTTGAGAGTTGAAGATTAAATTTTATTATTGACTGCAATTAAATGATTGACAATTTTAGCTCTCTATCAAGCTTCTTGTTGAGATATCTTGAGTCATTCAAGTTGAGTTTGGAGTCAATGTAGGTTTCAAAGGATACTCCCATCACTGTGAAGAATTTGAAATTTGGAGGAGTCTGACCGATGCTCCTAAGGTGGTTGAGTTTGTCTTTAAGAGAAATGAGAATTATGAGAGTTTACATCTCTTTTGAACTAAAATCAATGGGTCCTCTGAAAAATAGAATCTAATAACTGATTAAAGGTCAGAGATTATCCACCAAGCTGCACATAATGCCAAGACATAAATCCTAACTCTCTGACTTTCACAGTAAAACTATCAAATGAAATAATCTCTTCAACCAACCCTCAGCCTCCACACTCTGTCTGACTTCCACTTACTAATATAATCCCTGGTGACTTGGGCGCTATTTGTTCTCACATTCAATCTCTTTGGTAAATCTCTTCTCTCTTTAGGAGTGAGTTGGCTCAGATGAGTATCATAGTGCTTCTACAAGATCACTCTCTAAGCTTACTCTTAGTACATCATATCTGTAGTATCCATAATCACCTACAGATTATAGGGTTTAACAATTGATGAATGAGGGCTTACAGTTGGGAATAGGGCACTTGAACGGGTTGTCACTGGGTTCGTACACCCAATGACCACGCACATGCATCAACAGACTAAACTTGCACTTGAACTCCTTGAAGCAGCAAGGTCACCTACTTTCTTTGTACCTAAAGAGTTAGAAGGGAGATACAAGATGGACACATCCCGCTTATTTATAGAAGTATGCTAGAGTGGCTTTGGAGTGGGACGATATGTGATCGTTCATCTTAAGCTCCTCCTCAGTTTCAAATGGCACACACTTTAAATTATCAATCTTTTCTTTTCAGCAAAGTTTTCACTGAAATACTTTTCGGTAGAATTTTCCAAATTTATCCCGATCAGGCCTACGAATGATATTAAAGTAATCACTGTAGCATTCTCTGAGTGATTGAGATGATATAGAATCTGGAGGATTCTCTAATGAGAAAGAGTTCTCTTCTAAATCTGATTTGCTTTCCTCTCAATTATTTTCAATTTTTATCTTCGAATATCAGGTCTATAACTAAAATTAGCAAGGATATGATAGAAATAGATCAAACTCAAATATAAATAAAAATCAACTTTCATCAATTTTGAAGGGCCCAAACACATAATGTCGAAGGAATGAAATTATGGCTATTCAGTTTCTATTCAAACTGATGGGCTTCAAATTATGACCTGTAAGCCCAGCCCTCCATAATAGCACAAGAATTCTCCTCTTTAAGACATACTTTCTTTTTGTGTTTGACCAAGGACTCTGAGTCTTTATCTTTCCTATCATGCAGTTTATTGGACTTTTGCATGGCTAAATTAGTAAGTGAACCATCATGGCCAAGAGATGCTGAACTCTCATTTCCTTCAGGCCTCGATAGGCAAAGTTTGGACTATATTGAATGATAATCTTATTGAAATTACCTGAGAGTATCTTTCAGCACCAAGATCCATGAATTTTCTATCTGAAGGATCCGCGAGTTTTCTGGTATTGCAATCTTTCTGTAAAATATTCTCCCTCTTATTATTCTTTTTTCGATCTTCTGATTCTTTACTTTCAGTCTGGAGTCCTGGTGATTGACTGAAGAAGATCAGTTGTGAAGATGGAGTCTGAGATGAAGCTGTCCGATTGGAAGTGATTGAATCAGGAAGAGTTAGATTGTTCAAACATTTATTATTTCTTTTCAAGATTCTTGAACATCAAGCCTAAAAATTATAGAGATATATACTTCTAACTTCTTTGAATGCTTCAAGAAAGCGAGAAGGATTATCTTTACTTCCTTCTATTAATTCACTATTTTCGAGAGATTTTCAGATCCCTTTAATAAATCACTCTGACTCTTGATCTATATATAATCCCAACCATTGCCTCACTGAGCATTTTGAAGACTTTAACAATATCTCTCATCTTGTTTGTAAAATCCTCTAAACAATCACGCCTCAGACCTACTCGTCATGGCTGACATGTCCTGGTAAACTTTATTATATCCATCTTCAATCAAAATTATTTGACTCGGGGTTTTGGGGTTTTGGGGTTTTGGGGTTTTGGGGTTTTGGGG